CTGGATAAAAGACCATTTCGATTATTGGCACAACATATTCTTAAAAAACAAATGACGATATTCTCAAATCAGGTAGAGATTAGATAGACAAGCGTAGCAACAAGAAAACAAAATACCCACTGTTAGAGACAAATCAATGTGTAAAAAAAAAAAAAAAAAAAAAATATTATTGAAAATAGAGCAATAGGAGCCTGGAAATGGTGGCAACATAAAGTGTAGACATGCTGATAAGTTGATCCAACTCTAAAAGAATTAATGAGAATATCTTTTTAAGCAACTTATTTTTATTTCCTATTAAATACAACATCCATTTCTATTACTCCTTTTAAAAGCATCAAATATGACAAACTTTATTATATCTAAGGCTAAAAGAATATTTGTGAAAATAAAAAATTATTTTGTTCAAGTCCATGAGTGGCTATTGACCCTGAACAAAGCTCAGATCGCATAATTTATCAGTGTTAGCAAAAAAACGTAAACAGGATGTTGAGATATTTACTCTTGAATTTAACAGTTTAATTTAATGCTCACAGAATATTAGAAGTTAAAAATAATTTGTTTCTTTACATACCACCTATTTTTCTCTTGCATACCACCGGTTGAGAATTGCTGATTTAGATAGTTAAACACTAAATTATAACCTGCATCTTTTAAATTACTTAATTATTTAAATTCAATAACACGAATATTCATCTTTAAAACTAAAAATAAGCCTCATTTAATTATTTATGCCTCTATTAGGTGAGATTAAATTATAGATCGCCTCTTTCACTTTTATTTTGAAAAAATACTTTTTTGAAAAATTCAATCTTGTATTGATTCTTGACAATCTGATATATTAACATTTCTATTTCTCTTCAAATTCTTTTGATATATTCATCTTTAAGCTAGATTTTTACATTTTTCAAGAAAGTTTTCTCCTCACTGTACAGAAAAAGAATTTCTCTGTTATGTTTGTTTAATTTAATACAGTAAAGCATATGAAGGTAATCTACCTATATGGAGGATTTTCCAAGGAAGATGGGCTCATGATAGACATGGAAAAAACCATGAAAAGCAGCAGTTAAACAATTAGCAGAAATTTGAATCTATGCTAATTTCTTTATTAAATGTGCAGCTTTAAACACAGTTTTTTATGGCAACACTTTACTTTTGTTTTTAAATTACTTGCAGTATTAAATTCGTGGTAGGTAACATACAAAAATTTAAAACTTATTTCCTTCAAGATACTACGAGTCTCAGCCCACTGTAATGAATTATCATTAAATAACAGACTTTGATGCATTTATGTAAATATTAAGTAATAATACCTAGCTGAAATTTATATAAAAGAAGTGATGCCGATTTTTTCTCATTTTAACAATATATGATTCTAATTGCTTATAATTACATCACTGTTCGATTTGGTTTAGCTAACTGATTATGGAAAAGCTCATGAGGATTATTTGCAAAGAGGAAGAATGCCTTTGTGGGAGACATTCCATGAGAAACTGTCCCTTATTTACATTATAACTGAGGAAATAGATGACTATACCCATTCAACTCCTTTTGTTACTGAATTGATATTGAATTTAAGTATATCTGTAATGAATTACTAGTTTTTATGCAGTCTTATCTATTTACTCAAATCGAAGTACACAAAATAAGCCTTTGATTAGAAATATTTTCTATGAACATGAGTTATTATCATGCATTACCAACTTAATTTCTATTTTAATAAAAATGTCAATATAGAAACATTTTTAAGTCATTTTTTATTACAGTAACTTTCTCAAAATTATGTTTATTTACTACTAGTAATAAACAATTTATTCTTCTTTTTGTAATACCAGCATTAGCAAAATATTCCTAGTACAGAAAACTATTAAAAACTGTACTAAAAAACTTCCACATAATATTTTTGCATCAAGGCAAAATAGGCTATTTTAAGAAGAGAAAAATTAACAAAGTGCAACAGAGATAGCTTCATTTCAAAAATGATTTAAAAAATAGAATTAAAATTTTATTGATTTCTGATTTAATGATTTATAATTTATTTCAAAATCTTTTAGTATCAATAATCTTAATCAATGAACAGAACTTTCAGCTTTGGCAGAATTAACAGAAAATAAATTTAAAATTTTGTTCTCTCTCAAAATACTGTTCAAAAGCATTTTCTCTGCTATCAACAAACTTTCAAAAAAATTTCCAAATAAAAGTTGCTGCAATTTATAATTTCATTTAACTATATCAGCATACTTCAATTAATCATGCTTTATAGCTATCATTCAGCTAAGTACCAGAACTGAATGAGCTAAAATAACACATTATCATACTTTTTATTGTCAAGCATTTTCATGTTTTGCAACACAATCAAAACATTTTCTCTGAAAAAATATGACTGATATTTAGATTCAAGTAATTTCAAATGGAATACGGTTTATTTTGGCTTAATATCTTTCATTTCTTTTCAATGTGCTCCTTTACAACACATATTAAGCTACAACATTTTTCACTTATTCCAATTTATAATTAACTACTAAAACTTTTTACTTCTTCGTACGAAGTAAAAAGGAAGTATTGTAATCGCGAAAAGCTTCAGGCAGCATATTTCAACAAAAATATCCACTTTGACCGCTTTCGAATGCAATTTAACGATGTTTTTGCACGATATCTGTACGTAAGGACAGAATAAAAGACTCTTTTCCTCCAAAAAAACTAAAAAACTGATTTAAAATGAATTCTGAAAAGAATTTTTTGTGGCGTCTGTACGAACATATGTACATACGCGCGTATCTCGCATAACTCAAAAACGAGTAGCCTCAGAACGTTGAAATTTTGTATATAAGACTATTATAACATGTAGATGTGCACCTCGTACTTTGGTTTCAATCGGCCGCGCCAAACGTATATAAATATATTTATAAATATATCCACTCTGTTACCCGGCTCAGTGATCTCAGTTTCTTTACTCTTATATGTTTGTAAATTATACATTTTTTACTTTAAAAATGATTGAATTATGTTGTTCTTATCTTTCGGTTAAGGTTTTTTATAGCTTTCGTAATTCTGGAAGCAATATTTGTTACAATTATCAACAATTTAAAAAAAGCTGTTTAAGTGTGTTTAAGTTTTAAAATAACATGGCGGACATATTGTGTTTTGTTTACATTTGAAACAGCATAATTGTAGATTTGTTGCCAATCTAGAGAGACTAAGCTTCGCAACACAAAAAATAATGCCTTCATTTATTATTGCAAATTAAATCATGCTTTATCCTTTCTGGAATTTTTTTCGAGGAAATAAGTGTTTAAGATTTACTTCGTAAATTTAATACAGATATTTTGAGTTTTTATGTATTTTTGCCTTCTCGCGAATTAAGAGCTGAATTAATTAAATGAGAAATACTCAATCGTCTGTGAAAAACTGTTTCTTTTTTGTTTTATTTGGTTAATTTCTTTTATACATCGTTCTAGCTTTATTATAGTATTTGAATAGAACATGTGGCAACGATTGGATAATTCTTTAAATGATATACATTTTGTGCATTCTGAGTTATAATATGAACGAAATATAATACTGTTAACTAAACCTAGCGCCAGAGTGTCGCTATGGTAAACAAAGTGAATTTTAAAGAATGCATTTATTCTATTGTGCTTTATGCGCTGTCGGCGAAGTAGGTTTAATTCAATCTAATAAGTTTAAATGAAATGCAAGAAAAAATGCATATAATTTAATATTCCGTACAAGGAAGTCATGTGGTGTACACATCAGATTTTTTAATTTCTTCTTCAGGATGAAAAAACAATTTTTTTTTTAAATGGCCCTTTAATGAAAGAATGTTTAAGGCAACCTAAATTTTTTTCACATTCTGAGCAAGCAAAACTTTAACTAACACGTACCAGAAATCAAGTAATGCAGATAATGCCCAATCAAGCTGTACAGCTCTGAGTATGTTTGGATTTAATGATAGTAGTTAAGTCAGAAATGTGAAACTAGCTGTGTCTGTAAAATAAGTATCGGTACTTTTCCGTTTTGCCGGCGCAGGCGATAAAGTCGCCAATAATGGTGTAACTGATCCCAAACGGAATATCCTCGCTGGTAACCTTTTACACCTCATTTTCAAAACAAAATCGCAGCAATTTCTTATCAGATTGATTGTTTTCTTCAATACTATACTAGCATACAATTACATAGAATTTTAAAAACCCAGAGTTTCAATTTTATGCCCCTAAGGCCATTCGTGGCAATTAACTAACTTAATTAGGATGCAATCACACTGCTCTCACCCCAAAGCGGAAATATAGAAAAGGAGAAAGGCAGAGTTAAACTCATCAATTCCATTAAGAATGCACTAGCGAAGTAAACCACTGCGGTCTTACATAATTTCTGAGTAAGCTATTTGTACGAATTGAAATAATTCTTGCATTTACACTTGCATTCCGAATTAAGATTTAACTTGAAATTAATGTAGATAATTACTAAGAGAATTAGATTTTTGTAGCCTAGTTTACGTGAGATGAGATTACTTGGGGTCACGTGATATGAACCGGCGAATCAAGATGTTGAAAATGAAAGCATAGTACTTTCTTAATGTCTTTTTACAAATTTATTGTCTTTATTTATTGGCTTTTTTACAAAATTTTAAACGATATTAAAATGTTTATGCCTTCAAAATAAAAAAAACCCCTTAGATTACATTTGTTTGTTCTTTAAGGATCCTTAGATTATATTTGTTAACAATTTTTATGTGTATACTGCATGTTGTCGCCAGTAAAGTCTGCTTGGCGAGATTTGCGCCGGCGAAACGGAAAAGTACCTAAGTATCTTATACTACATAGATTTACAACAACCTCTAAATTTGCTGTGCATAGATTTTTTTTTAATGAATATCTCTTCTTTTAAATGCTAATAACATAACAGAATATAAGAAACATTTCCTAGATTTACTGATTCAGTTTAATATATAATTAAAACATTTGTACTTTTATAATATAATAAGGAAGAGGAAAAAATTATACCTTCTAAAGAATAGTCTTTGGTGCACTTAGGTGAAGCACAGTGGTAAGGGAGATCACAATAATAAGATAACTGACTGGGATCACCACACCTTTTCTTAGGGGAATATTCATTATTTTCTTCTTTAACATATTGCAGTGGATCAGCTACATCTTCAGAGTTCTGATATACATTATTTTTTGTTTCTTTTCTCCAAGATTCATTACTTTGAACATGCGATCCAAGTTTGGAAGACTGAGGTGAACATTCACAATTGACAGGTGATGTCTCTGTTTCTGAGGGGAAGGACTGATTTGAACACTCAACTTTAACATTGGGTTTATCCATCATGTCATGATGATCTGTACTGTTGATGCTATTTTCCAGTTTTGATGATAAATCTAATGGAATATCTGTAAAAGAAATAATATTTTTGTAAAAATGTTAATCTTAAACGCTGATAATAAACGGATTCTCATACACACTGTAGATGGTGTTTTGATTAGGCATTATGATTTTACTGCATATAAAAATAGCAGTGAAATGTAGAATTCATGCAAAATATTTTATTAGGGGAGAAAATACTGTAAAAACTTGCTGAATGCTTTAAAACAGGTAACTCATTGCTCCACAAATATTGTGTTTAGGTGATAAAGTCTTTCAACTTGCAGACAACCAGATAATATTAAAAAAGTGCCAGAAATTATCGAAGAAAATGATAGGTGGGTAGTTCATGACATATATAAATGATTGTATTAGCAATCTTAGTGAATTTTGGACGTTGTTCACTCTTTTATGATTGCTGGATACAATCAGAAAGTGCTCTGGAAGGTTGGTTGATTTTAATTAAAACAAGCATGTGAGGATTATCTGCCAAGGAAGAGATGTATTCATGTAGGAATTTTTAAGGTAAATTGGCTAATATTTACATTAAACATAAAGAAAACTATGAAAAGCATATAGATTTGTAGAAAATTTCGAAATGCATCAGAGAGCATCCACATATTTTCGTCAAGGCTGTTACGGTATTAATGAAATTCAACGAATGCATATGGTTCTGAAATAAAAAGTTAATCATCACAATAGAAATCCAAGTGGTTGTAACGAAAGAATACTCAGAAAAGGATAAGATCTGGCACTCTAAAGCCTAAGAATTACTGAAAGTGATGAACACACAGATAGACCTCGAGTGTTTAAATAAATCGCCCTAGTGGAGAATTCTTGTTTTAAATGCACCGTGGGTCTTTCTAACTTCAAGGATTACCTTGAGTTTTTTTTTTTTTTTTTAAGAAACAGCAAGGCAAATTTTGAAAAAGGGTTGTAATTAGAAAAAGTATTAAAAAATATCTCCAGAGATGAGATTAAGCAAATTTTATAGAACTACTTCATAAAGCAGTTTTAGTTTGACAAATAGGTTGTTAAAACTGAATTATAACATTTTAAGGAGTTTATTAAGTTGCTGTCTAATTATTATTTATCTAGGAAAATAAAAATCATTTGCTAAATTAAACACACAACAGCTTACAGTTCCTGTATCCACGACTTTCCAAGAAAAATAACAAACATGTAAAAATCTCCTATTTTTCTACATTTTTGAAAAATTTACAAATCAAGAATATAATGTTAAATATCATGAACAAAGAACTGCAAAACTACACATACAGGACTTCAAAAACTGAAAAATGGGTTAAATGCTATTATAGCTGAATGTTTATTATATAAAATTTACATATGTGTTCTTTAAAGTACTTAATATCGAGCAAAATATTGTTAAGTTTAAACAGTTTATGTAAATATTAAATGGGATCAATATAAATTTTTTTACTGTTACAAAACTATTTGTTGGTACCCTTTTATTAAACTTCCGAATTACCCCCAGAAACAGTTCTTATAGGATTCATAACCTTCAAAATTTATGAAACAGTAATTGCAACAGTAAACAGTAATTAAAATAGTCACTTATCTGTATATAATCTTTGCATTTTGGAATGATAATTTGTAAGAATTATCAAATAAGTAATTTCAGTATATGAATCTGCTGAATTTTATCTACCCATGTGAATAATGCCTAAGAATCAAAATTAGTTATAAAATAAAATGATACTAATACTATTAAATATGGAAAGAAATAAATTAGTAATTTATTGCATAAACAGGATTTGTATACTCATATACTGAAATTATCTGTTTAATAGTTCATACATATTATCATTCCAAAATGCAAAGATTATACTATATACAGGTAAGTGGAAAGGGCCCACAGTAGCCGAGCAAAGTCACTGAACAGTGGTAGTTCGTTCCCAGGTTCCTATGTTTAACATGTATGCGAACCAGTTCCTCTTAAAAAGTCCTCCATGAAGGCATCCTCCCCTTAGGCAGATAGCTCTTGAGTGCTTTGCCATAACAAACCAAACAAACTCTGCTAAAAATATTCCATATGCTTCATATTTTCCGTAGAAAATTATTGGCTTGACTAAAGCTTGCTTCTATTAAATAAGAAGAGGGGAAGTCAACAACAGGTTTCATTTTGGGATATTTCTATTGGATGAATTTTAAATTCTAAAATTTAGCATACTTGTTTTTAATTACATTTGTGCTGGAGCACATTCTTGCAATCCAAGAAATACTTACAGTTACTTGCAACTCAAGTGAGGAATATTATTACTGAGAACACTGAGGTAGCAAATATTAAAGCTATTTTACTCCATAAAGATGATCTGCATAATGCAGTGATTCAACTAGAAATGAGTCATATTTTTCTTCTGTTTCATTATATAACATATGCAACTTCTCCCCAACATTTTGAGTAAGATTGATGCAATCATGAAGAAGCTTTTCTTATTTTTATTCTATTCCTTTTCTTATTTTTTGACTATTAGCGCCTTCATGCCTAACACAAAATTAATCAAATTCTAATCACGGAATTCCTGGTACTCTTCAGTTATCGGGACCAGATTAAAAAATGTACATATATGCATGTATGTGTTCATGTACATATGATGTATGTGTGTGCACATACACACATATATACACATACATACACACACATATACATACATACATTTTTGAATCCAGTCCTGGTAACAGAAGAGTAATGAATTTCTTTACAAAACTTACAAGCAGTTCTACTTCTTCAATGCAAAGTTTAGACTTCTAATAGAGTTTTTGCTGAAATTCAGCTTTTAATTTCCCAGTTTTTCAATGAGCAAACTGATAAATTTAACATGAAATTCAATTTAACAGCAATACTGCAAAATAATTTTTAAATGCGCATATCTTTAGAATTTCCGATAGAGTCTAGCACGCTGGTTATAAAAATGCGACTTGAAACAAAAGGGAAAAAAGACTGGTGTGTAAATGAAGGTTTACTTAGTAGCCATTATTAAGTATCCTGTTTGTAGGAAGGAAATGAGCATGGTCAAACATCAGACAATACCAGTACTATGGAGAATATTTATGTGGCGACGCCAGTAATTAGATTCTAGTTCAGATAATTTTAGGAAGTTTTTAGATGCTGTTAAGGAATTTTGCTTGACAGAAGACACGTAAATTCATAAACTAAGTGGATATTTCCTTTATGTAGTGCTAAAATGAATTTCCTTTTTTTTATGTTATTTCATTGTTTGATTTAAAATATAGTTTATTGAGATTATACATTTCTTGTTGGCTGCTTCTTTGACTTTTTAAGTGAATATAGATGTGTACAAAGTCAAGAGAGTGCATAATACCTAGTTTGCGCAATTCTCTAATGTTCTTTACAGTGAAAATAGGTTGATGTGTACATGGATACCGACTTTGTGCAATTCTTTGACGATATTTTGGATTTGTGTAACGAAAGTCAAAATAACAAGAACTACACAAACTTCATGTCGATGTATTGCCAAAAATTGCCAATTATCACCAAGGGGCAAAATTTTGCCCAATTATGATGATAAATGATAATGATAACAATCCTCCAACTTTCAACTCTCTTTTTGGAAAATATTCCAATTTTCTCTTACCATTCTTCATTTTTCTGATTTTCTAAAATCTTTCAGGCGAATAGAAGCTGCATTAATGATCACCTGCAATTATTTGAAAGAACAAATGTACGGCTGGCTGCTTTTCACATTCTCTTCACGTATTTCGGGAAAGATTTTTCATTTTATTTGCCTTTTGGATTGCATCAGATTTGGAAACCTCATTTAAATGATGACAACTAGTTAAATTAGCTATTATATGGTGGGCTGTTAGCATAAAATGTGATGGCCTTCTAGCCCCTGCTTGTATGTAAAATATACTACAAACATGCATACACAATGTCCAAAATAATTCCTAAAACCAGAAGATACTGATTTCTTAAAAACTACAGGAGGGGGGAATGAATGAATTTATTTGAGATGAAATATAGCATCATAGCACATTAACATGTACAAATGCTAAAACAAACACTTACAATATAAAATAATATGAAATGAAGTTGAAATAATATGTAACAGTGAAATTTTAGGAAAAGGGAAACAAATACAAACTTTTGACATAATTAATCAATGTGATCTAACACAATTCTTATGCATATATTGTAAAATGACTTCATACTCTCAATAAGGTGGTTAAGTAAACTATATGGGATTAATTTCCCTTCTCCACAAATAGGGTTTGAGGTGCAGTAAGAAATAACAATACCAGAAATAGGGTTCGAGGTACTCTATAAAGAGAATTTTTCCATGATCAAATCTTCCATGGATGTGACAAGTTCTGCAAGAGATGAAAATCTAGAGATCTGCTAGCCAATTCTCTTATAAGCAGCATCTTCAATTTTAATAAATTCATCACTCAAATTTGCTCAAGATGGATATGTATATCACTCATAAAAAGAAAGTCAAATCTATTTTTACCTTTAAAAAATTATATTAGAAAGTTAAAATTTCATCTCAATACCAAATGGTGGCCACACATTTTCTGTCAAATACATGTAGGAGAGGACATCCACTGATCATTGTTCATACCCATAACCATCTCGGCTATGTAAGTCATATTCTGCAATTATGAAGGCAATGGTTTGTAATCCCCATGCCCTCCTAATTTAAACATATTTAGAACTAGATGTTAAGCTGAATCCAGATTAGTCATTATATGGTACATAGACTCCCTTCAGCTCTTATTTCCTCTGCATCAATTTAGGTACTTCAAATCCTGTCATTTGGTATTCTTGCCATACTACAGAAGTTAGAACATTAAACTAAACTGCCTAGAGGTCAAGTTATTTCTGTTATGGGCAGAAAATCATCTTGAGAAGCCTTTGTTTCTTTCCTTACCACTTAATCTCTGCTTCCTAACAACAGTTTTAGTCTTAAAATTGTTTCAACAGCACAGAAATAAACAACCTTGAAATATTTAGCCATTTTGCCACTACTGTAATAGTCGGCTCTACTTATAAA